TAGGAAGGCAGAATTTTACCTACTGGCTTGTGAATGTTTGCAGTACATGAAGGTTTAAGACAGCTATGTCATTCATTATAAAGAAAAACTGGGGGATTCATCTATACTACAGATTCCCATGATATAACTGTGGAAGTTTTAAAATACCCATCTGATGTGCTGCTGCTGGCTCAAGAGCAGTGGGGCAAACACTTCAGCCCTTCTACTTCCCTTCCATACAGTCCTTTTAAAAATCAGAACAGAGAGAGCACACACTTGGTTACACGGACAAAGTAAAACGACATACAAGGCACCTAAAAGTACACCGTCAGCTCTGCTACACAAACGGTGCTTACTTACCTTGACTCAATTTTGACTATTTCTTTACAGAAAATCTGAATCTTAAGGGTTATTTTTTGAGGATTAAACATTAGTATATTTTTTAACTTATCTGTGAATTCTATCACATTTGAAAATCTAACTTTCCATCTCTTGCTTATGGAACATAAATGCAAACACCAGGAGAAATGTTCCTCTGCTGTTGCTGCTAGAAGTCAAAAGAAAGTGCTGCGTTTGGCAGTGAAAACTTTAAAATGAACAGTAAGCACCAGAGCAGGCAGAAAGTAATGTACTGTCATCCTCCACTTAGTATACGACTGTGAGTTATATCAAATCAATAAAATATCAGCAATCACATTTTATAGTTATTAATATTAACGAATATTAATATTAACCTTTCTAAAGGATTAAGAACAAAGTACTAGAAAATACATTTTCTACAATGGTAGCTTGAAATATTTTGACTGAATTAATGTTTAACACATTCAAGACGGGGTCATAATTAGGTGAACCCCTGGGACATGCATGCCCATCCCTCGGGCAGCCTGCACCATCCGATGGGATACAAATGCATGTACCACAGGTGGACCAAGCTGGTGGGAACATGTTAAACTACTCTTCTGGTATTTTTCATCCTGAGATACAGACTTATCATCACAAAAGGCAAGTAAGAGCCCCTAGACATAATTCAGGAAAAGCAGTCAATCTGCTAAATTTCTAAGCAATAAGACAGTCCACCTGTGAATTTGAATGGCTACCCAATCCATTGCATGCACGTTAGAGGACAGTCCAGACAGCACACGGAAATGGTCACAGAGAAAGCCTGGGGAGCACAGGACTACAGGAGCACATCCACCCCCTATTTTGGTGGCACTTGGGATTCCTCTAGCTTCACATGGCACTTTGGGCTCAATACCACAGCGCTAGCCCCTCTACCTACATATCCATGGCAGGAGCCTAGGTCATTTTCACAGAGTACAACAGTGCCCTAAAAATCAAAGACATCTAAAATTAAGTATTCAGGTAAAAGTTGTGTAAGTTTAGAACTAGACTGCTGTACTCTTTTGGACCTCCATTAGCTCATAAATAGTAGAAAGAAATAATCCAACAGTAGTGGAAATAGTAAATACAGTTTATGGATAGTAAAATATAAACTATTTGGGATAATAATTGACAGAAAAAGGCATTCTTTTGGGAGTAAATTTTAATACAGTTGTTTAATATACCATTCCATAGAAAGAAACTTCTCCAGCTACTGAGTACCAAAAGTGGTAGAAAAAATATTTTAACTATATTCTGTATGCATAGTTGAGTTTGTAGCAAATTCATGTAAACAACTGAAGGCAGATCTGAAGACAGTAAAATTCCACAGGATGTGTAGCTCTCCCCAGACTAGTAACTGCCCTAAAGACTTTCCCTTCGCCTAGGAAGGGAATTAAGAAGCCAGACCTACATGCAGGACAGGCACTGAAGTCTGGGACTGCAGCTGTCTGCTCTGGACGCCATAACAAGACACCACAGGCTGGGTGGCTCAGCCAATGGAAATTTGTTTGCTCCCAGATCTGGTGGCAAAGAGGGCCACGATCACAGTGCTGAAACCTTGATTTCTGGTGAGGGTCCTCCTCCAGCCTTGCGGATCCTGCTGTTTTGCTCTGACCTTTTCCTCTGTGCCTGCAGCGTGCCGGGTAGGCTCTGGGGTCGCTTCCTGTTCTTAGCAGGACACCAGTCCATCACATTAGAGTCCCACCTTGTGACCTTGTTTAATCTCATCGACCTACTTAAGGCCCCTCCTTCTAACACAGGCATGCTGGGAATGGTGCTTCAGTCTATGAATTTCTCAGGGAACAGAATGCAGCTCCCATCAGAGACGAGTGGGATGGGTGGCAGGGCTGGGAAGCCCCAGAGAGAACGGCCTTCCACAGCTGAGCTGGGTAAATACCTACTCCCGCCCTTTTTCAGCACCAAGCAGAGCTGGAAGCGTCCCTGGGAGGAAACTGACTGAAGTGATCCAGCATTTGCACTGTCTCAAGAAACAAACTCGTGGTACTGGAAAAAGAAAATTAATTTCTCTAAAGGAATACACTTTAACCAAACAAATTCTAAAACTCAAGTTCAGAAGAACAAGAATTCACCATCAAGAATCACTGAACACATTAGAAAACAAGACATGATAAACTTGTTTCAGCCAAAACAACAAACTACAGATTCAGATACACATGAAAAGAAACATGTTGAGATCACCATGTCTGGATAAAAAAACTGTGGATTTAATGTTTAAAGAAAATAAAAAGAGGGGCGAAACAGGACTGTCCTGAATGACAATGAAAGTTTAAGAACCAAACATTACTTTGGAAAATTAAAAAACCACAAACACTAATTCATAACATGACAAATAGATGAGAGAGGAGTGTGAGGGGTCAGAATTAGTGAGCTGGACAATAAAATTAAAGAAATGACCCAGAATTCAACACACAGAGACTAAGATATAGAAAATACAAACCTAAGACCTAGGGATCTGGAGAAGAGGGTGATGCTAAAACACGGAGTTAATCCAATTTCTTAAAGGGGAGAACAGGGAGAATGGGGGATGATACGCCACAGTCAGAGTCAGAGCTAAGTGCTTTCTGGGGTTCATGAAAGGCACTAACTATATCAGGATTAATTCAGGACAATAAATAGAAATGGTAGCATACTGTAGCATCAACATATTGAAGCATGAGACTTCACTGTAGAACACCAAAGATAAAACCTTAAACCTGACTGGTTAGAGAATGAACAGATCAGTTACAAAGGCGCTCTGACCGGACTGGCGGCTGTCTTTTCAGAAGTCACAGCAGAAGGCGACATGTCCCTAGTGTGAAATACTGAGAGAACGCAGCTGTCAGCGCTGAATGGCAGACACAGGCAGCTTCAAGGAGTGAGATGGTAAACTCGTGGGTATCCGTAAGCACTGATGGCAGAACATAACTACTGCTGCAGTTAAGCCAGGATAGAACTAAAATTCTGGACAATAATTTATTTGTAAGCCGAGGGGGACAAAATCAGTCTTTGCTTAGTGAAGATATGGAGATTTTGTTAACTATGCAAATCACATTACCTAGTGAGCAGTAACAGATAAAAACTGAGTGTCAATTTCTAACCCAGGAGAAGAAAACTAGGTGAAAAACCTCAACAAAAGTCAATCCATGAGGCTGGGGATTTAGCTCAGCGGCATAAGCGCCTGCCTTGCAAGCAGGCAGTCGTGAGTTTGATCTCTGGTACTGATAAAAAGGAAAAAGACAAAAAACGAAAAGAAAAAAAGTCAATCCAAAAGGAAACAAGACTATAAAAACAAACAAATAAACAAACAGAAGTCACCATAAAAACTCCAAAATGGGACACATAAACTCTAAAATTAGTAATTTCAACAACTGTATGAGTAAATAGACTGAAAATCTATTTAAAATAATCAGAAAAAATCTAGTTATGGTTTTTAGGAGATATATCTAAAACATAATAGAAAGGTCCAATAAAAGAATAAAAACTGTATTACACATGATAACTAGAAAGTGTGGCCTGTATTTTAAAGCCCTCTACATTTAGAGCAACCTAAAATCAAATAAAAGTATAACTACAAATACCGAATATGACTATAAATGTAAGAGTTCTAAAACTTGGAAGACAAATAATTCTAAACATGTATACAGCTAATAATAAAGCTTCAAAACGTATTTTTTAAACACAGATAAAATTACAGAAAGAAACTAGCAAATACACTAGAAAAGGAAATTCTAATACATTTTGGAATCTGAAAGATCAAGTAAAGGAAAAAATAGCAAAATAGAACTTGATCTGCACAATAAGCCAGGTCTAGTAGACACCAACAACTGGAAAATATTCATTCACACTTTTCAAGCACTTATGAAAGGTACAAAAACTGGCTACGGTCTACATTATCGAGCAACAAATTTCAAAACATCAATCTTATAGGTACTTATTCTCTGAATATAAAAACACCTCATACCTACAAAGTGAAAAACAAGCATAATGAGAAACAAAAAATACTTAAAAACATTTTTATAGCTCCTTTAAATTACAAAAATTATTTCACTTGATCATTAGGATAATCCTGAGAGCTATACAGGATCCACAGTATCTTTATTCAATGTAGCAGAAATATAAATTATGTAATTATTTAAATTGATTTTTATATAATATATATAACAAAAGTGATTTGGAAACTGGGACACAAACGTGAACATGTTCAGCAATAAAAATAGCAAAAGGCAGGCAAACTAATGGAGGCTTTTAGAGATTCTGTGACTGCTAACAGTCTAACAGAGTTACAAAGAAAGAATTGAGAGTCTTGATATTTAAGGCTTAGAAACCCCCTCACTCACTCTGGTCTAGGAGCCCCTAGACACTTAGGATGTGTTGGCAATTAACAGCATTCCAAAAGGGCCGTGACACAAAGGGAATTTTCATTTAAGGCTCCCCCGCCTTTTCGTGCGTGGGATATTTTTGGAAGTATTTCTTTTTCCATCTACTGAAAGAGAATTAAGAAAATTCCAACATGCCTTCCTGTCAGCAAGTGCTCTTTTCAGTCCAGGTAGCGCGGGATGATTGATGAGCTTGTCAAGACTACAGGAGCAGACAGCGAAAGCTGGCAGAAGTTCAGTGTTACTGAAAGAAATCTCCAATACTTATTTCATCTCCTCTATTAACTTTAATCACATTTTCAACATGCAACCAAGAATGAAGCTTTGACAGTAAGCCATACATTCACACAGGCGAGCATTGTGAATTTTCTGCATTCGCAACACAGAGATTAACACAAGAGAACTGGATATGTTTTTTATGCCTTTCTTTAATGAACAGCAATAAAAATACTAAATAGATTTATCCATAATGTAAATTAATTTGCCATAAATCTCGTGATTATTGCATTTACTTTTGCTCGGTTTATGGCAAATTAAAAAAACAACTTAGCTCTTCCCTCAGACTGCTAATGCAGATTTCAGAGATCACAGTGATGAGAGGTGGTACAGGTTTCATCACAATACACCTGCTGGTGAGCTCAGAGGCTAACACTGAAAGGGATTTACACTTAACACGCATCATTTGCCACGCGGACGAACACTTCTGGTTCACTGGGAGCCAGAATCTTTCTATGGCTCAGAGAGACTTCTGGGCCGAGTTTGCTGATTGCTCATTGAACACTTGAAACGCATACAGACATTGTGTATGTTACACTCTTACCCCCAGCAAAACAGACATGGAAATGAGGTAAATAGTTGGGAAAGACTATGGTTCTTGCAAAGGCTAAAAGTCAAAATGTATTTTTGGTAAACTTTTCATCCTAAGCACATTTCAAGAGATGAAAATATTAAGGCCTAGAAGGCCACAACCCTTAACACATGTGTCTGATTGCCCGGGGAAAGGCACGGCACCGCGCTGCACGGCAAAACCTGCAGACTCCGCCAAGAGGCGGTTCAGCGTGCCCCTGCCGGCTCTGTGTCAGCGGGGACAAGGCTCTGCCGCTTCCCTCCCTCCAAGGCCGGCCGTTTGTGCGACATCACTCACGGAATGATGCTCCAGGCACACTTCTCCCTCTCAGCCAGGGAAGCTAGGACAGCAGCTGCCCTTCGGGCGTCAGTGATAAACTAATTAACCCTGCATGAGCACGGATCACAGTATCTTTCCAGGAAGACTGTGCTCACAGGTCTCTGAGCTACACACTGCAAAAGAAAACCAATTCTGATTAACAGAGTCAGCAGATCTCGTTTTTCCTCCCAGCTCCCCATTCACACAGATCACCGTAGGCACTTAAACGGGCATGACGGGCGCTCTCTGCTGACACAAGAGGCCGCTGAATCCTCCGTCCAAGTCTGTGAGAGGCGGAAGTCAGCGCGTCCTCACCCGCCACGGCTGTGGCCGGTCCTAGAAGGCCGAGAACCTGGCAAGGTCCTTCTCCATCGCGGCGTACTGCTCCCTGAGCCTCTCCACGGCTCTGCGGTGCTCTTCGTCCACCTCCGCCCGGCGGTGCAGCTGCGCCTCCAGGAGCTCCTCCCACTGGAGCTGCCGCCGCTTCTCACCAGCCACTACGTGGTCACTGTAGGTCTGAGAAAAGGAGACGCGACAGTCACACCACGCCTTCTAGACAACTGTGTCTCTACACAGAAGAGAGAAGCACAGCTTTCTCTCTTGATATTTGGTGACTATAATAAATCGCCAGCTAGTGAGTCACGATCAAATTGTACTGTAGCTTTAGCTACGTCTAAGAAACAGGACGTATTAGCAACATTTAAAACTTTTCTTACTGTAACTGAACATAAATTTTCGAATTTCTGAAATTTCTGTCATATTTTTAAATGACTTAGTTCAAGTAATTTTTTATGCGTCTATTTTTGCTCAGGTTCCATTTACATATTTCTATCAAGTTTAAAGAATACAAGTTTAAAGAATAAAAGCTAAAAGAATCACTATTATGAGAAACTCAAAAGTCTGTTTTACATAAAACATTTTTAAATGTGCTTGGAAAAAACCATAGATTATCACTAGAGGAGAACTCAAGCAATCTCTTTTGGCTCAGTTCAGTTCTTAAAGCACATCAAAGCCTAAAACATTTGTGTCAAGCATCTTAGTTCTTGAGATGGTCCCTAACATTTCTGTGTAAGGATGTGAATGTATTTTTCTGTTGAGCATAAGACATAAACACTATAAAAAACATATGTTATCTTCCCCTAGAGTTGCAATTATTATCCTTGAACACATAAAGTAAAAACCTAGAAAGAAAAAGCATGAAAAGGTGCGTTTGTAACTATTCTGAGTGTTCTACATCCACATCTTTAGAGGACAAAGTCTGATTAATACATGAACAGCGTCTGAGACAGATGCAAACGGTAAGCACTCATAAAGCACCTGAAGCTACTATTAATTCCAGGGTTCTAATGAAACAGGGAAACCTGGTGCCAGAGTAGTAACTCAGAGGTTGCTGGCCGGCAAGAGCTGCGCACTAGGGAAGGCACGGAACAGCGTCCCTGCTGTCCTGTTGCTCTGCACCTTTCTGGTCCGGGTCACCGCGGTGAGCTGCTGAGGAGGGTGAGCTGACCCCACTGCTCTAAGCACACAGATCCCTGCTAGCTGTTTCCACAGCTTACCTGCTACCAACATCTCTTAAAAGATTACACCATTCTCATTTACAAAGAAATCAAGGCTTAAGGGCAATGTTTATTTCTCCACTGTTACACAGCTAAGATCTGGGCTGTCAATTCAAATTTAGATCTTTCTGACTTCCACATTTATCTATTTGCCCGCCTGCCAGCCTGTCTGTGGTGCTAGGGATTAACCGATGGCCTTCACACTGAGGTATTTTCCTAGTCCTTTAATATTTTTTTCCCCTTTTTCACTAAGCTGCTAAGCTGCCCAGGCTGAGGCTGAGCTTGGGACTCTCCCATCCTAAGCTCCCAGAGTACTCAGCCTACAGGTGTGCACCGCCCACACCTCACTTTATTTTTCAATAAACACAGGAAACATTAAATATGCATGTTCGGATCATTGAAGTTTTTCATTTTCTTCTAACAAAAAAGCTGGCATTGGCTATTGTGACCTGATCTGGCTGATAAAGCTCACCTGGTTTCCCTGCTCACCAGGCAGCGATTTTCCTAGTGCAGCCCATGGGGGAATGCAAATTTAGGAGGCACAGGAACTTTATTTTAAATTCCAGCTCATTCATTGCCTGCAGCAAGATGCTAAGCAGGTTTCTTTAACTTAAAAATGAGGAAAATAATACTTTATATTCATAAATGATACTCATACATATCAAGTTCCTAACTAGTACCTGAGGTACTTAATAAAAGGCAAATGCTATTACATAAGTCATTAAGTAAAACATCTAGACGGAGATCATATTTTAGCTCCACCAGTTACATTCTTGTTTGTTATTTTATTTATGTATTTAGGTTTTTTTGAGACAGGGTCTTGCCATGTAGTTCAGGAGGTTGGCCTTGAACCCATTATGCAGCCTAGGCTGGCTTTGAACACGCAGTGATCCTTCTGCTCAGCCTCCTGAGTGCTGGGATTAGAGGCATGTGCCACCACAACAGGCTTAGTTCTTTAATTTTAACAACTTAATTTTAGCACCAGTTTTTATATGAAATCAATACAGATAAATAAATAAAAGTACTGTCCCCTAACTTTCACCCTCAGGTCATTTCTCCTTGATATATACACTACTATCTGGCTATTAGAAAAGGCTTTAAGATGCTGCCAAAAATCAGTACTTCTATTTTGGAACTGCAGGATATTCTGATTCAAGGTATACACATCCCAGTAGAGTCTTACATCACTTCTTGGCCTCCAGTAAGTTCAAAGCTGACAACTCCCAAATCCATATGAAAATCTGGTCTTGATTTCTTATCAAGAGGCTCTTAAAAATCCTTCCTCTTTATTTTTGGTTAGTCCCCATCTTTAATAATAACTGCTATGCCTCTTCATGGCAATTAGGGACACTGATGTTATATGTGTTAATAATGCTAAAGTCTACCTACACAAATAAAACTTAGCTACCTGTAATGTAAGTCTACTTGAAATGGAGTTGACAACTATGTGGTAAGATCTTTAAATCAACAACAACAGACACCACAAAGTCTGTTCCCAAGACTAGCAGTTCTCAGAAGACTCTGGCCTAATTGGTTAGCTGGGTTTTCAATGAGAAAAAGAAAACGCTGCTAAATGAAGTGGGAAGAAGAGAATCACAGTCGTCAGTTTTGCAGCTCATTAGGAGGAGACAGACATAAATCTTAAAACACAGAGGGCTGGACATTTGGGGATTTAGCTCAGCTGCATAAGTGCCTGCCTTGCAATCAGGCAGTCGTGAGTTCGGTCCCTGGTACCGATAAAAATAAAAAAGACAAAAAAAACAAAACAAAACAAAAAAAACCCCAAAACTTAAAACACAGCACTTGGGAGCATTTGGCATAGAAGCACAATTCTCTCTCTCCCTCCCTCCCTCCATCCCTCCCTCTGTTTCTATTTATCTGTGTCTCCAAGAAAGCATTGTTCACCAGGTTTACTTAATATAAAACTTGATATTTTCTTTTTTTTTTTTTTGTCTTTTTCGTTTTTATCGGTACCAGGGATTGAACTCACGACTGCCTGCTTGCAAGGCAGGTGCTTATGCCGCTGAGCTAAATCCCCAGCCCCCAAAACTTGATATTTTCAATAACATTAAATTCATACAATTAACTTGTGACGGTTAATAAAGTTTAAAAAGTCTAAGAATATGCAACATGTCTTAAAGGATTTCCATCCAAAATAAAGTTATAAAAACATTTTGCTTAAAGATAAAAACCGAAGCTCTGTGGTGAGCTTAAGCATGGGTAATACTATGGTTGTTTCTCAAAAATTTAAACTCAGAATTATGTATGACCCTATAATTCTGTTTTGGGGATGTATACCCAAAAGAAGCGAAAGCATTTATGTACCCATGTTCACAGCAGCATTATTCACAACAGCTGGGCCCAGACAGGTGACTCCATACACAAAATGCGGTGTACATGTGAAACAGACAGCTAGTGAGCCTTAAAAAGGAACAGCATTCTGCCACAATGCTACAGCACTGACAAACCTAGGGGACATTATGTTAAAGAAATAAGCCAGTCACAAAGAGACACGTTAATTTGATTATAGTTATACAATGTACCCAGTAGTCAAATTCATAGAGGAGTACAGCCTTATGGATTACTAAGGGGGTAGGGAGATTGGTGTCTAGGGAGCACAGACGTTCACCACTTCTGCAGGGTGAACAGTGCTGTAAAGCTGGGTGACCGCTGCACAGCAACACCAATGCACCTAAAGGCACTGCAATGGATGTCGAAAAACTGCTAAGTAAGGGCTGAGTGGGGTTAGCGGAGACACTGCTCGACAAGGATGTGTGAGGCTGTGTTTGATCCCCAGCAAAAACAAGGCTAAAGTAAACAGTATGTTATATGTAAAATTACATGTTCTTTACCACAATAAGAAGCTTTCAAATCAAATCTCAATTTCTCCTTAAAAGAGATTAAACTGATTTTTAAATAAATGGATACTTGTTTGCTAAGAACTTAGAAAATGCTGACTTTAAAATGAAGACAAAATGTATTCACAAGCTACAACTGTGCAGCCAAAATCATACTGTCTCTTAGTAAAATGTGCAAATTAAGTTATAACAGAGAACTTACATATATAGTAAGAGATAAATTTAAATAGAGTCAATTAAGTGGAACCCAATCTGGAAGCTAAACTCTACCAGAACTGGTTTTTGTAAATGAACTCTGGAACACACAATGAAGTGTATTTTTGCTTGTATGAGTCTAAGTCGAGGATTCTCAACCAAGGGGGCAGGGTTTGCCTTCCTCAAGAGACTTTCGCCTGGGGGGAAGGGGAAGAGAGGAGGGGCTGCTGGTACCTTGTGGGGTAAGGCCAAGCATGCTGCTAAACATCTTACAACACACAGGACATCATCTGCAACAATTATTTATCTGGTCCACAATGTTAGTTAGCAGCACCAAGCTCAAGAAACTCGGGTGTCAGGGAAAATTCTAAATCATCCGACTAAGGCTGAGGTTTCCTGGAACATCTGCCAGTAACATACATCTGTTAATTTTACACATGCCATACACAAGCAAGGGAAAAGCTAGTAAGAAGTATCTATCACAGTAACAACCAGCAAAAACTTTTAAACAGGTTAGTGTGCACTGATATGTTACGCAGCGCTTTCAAACTTTATCAAGAACATGGCTCTGTGTGATCTTACTGCTCTCATGAAAAAAAAAATCACAAAGGAGCATAACTAAATCTAATAAATATATGTGGGTAAGCTGAAACAGAAGCAGTCATATTTGGTTCATTAGTCTCTCCAGTGCAGCTGAATGGGGCTTCCAAAATTGCTGCTTCTGCATAAACCTAATTGAAGTGACTGACAGACACTCATAACCTCCTCATCTCTCCAGATGGCTCATCTTAAGGACCAGTGAATTTTATAAGCCAAGTGCATTTTCAGTTCACTACTCTCATTGCCAGCACCCAAAATGCAACAGTGTTAGTGAAAGCTCTCAAGATACATTAAATAACTTGGAAATGTGCATTTATTGTTCCTTTGAATGGATTTTTAGATATCAATTGTGGGAAATGTGGTTTAGATGAATGACGCTTATCAATTTACTTCCCACAGAATTCCACAAATTGTCTTGACATAAAAGAATTAATGATTAATAGCAATAGTTTATTTTATTTCACTGCTACTCCCATCTTTCTTTGTTCTGAGAGCCTTTCAAATACACACAATGTGGCCAACATAATAACTGAAAGTAACAATTAGCATTCGGTTATAAAATACAAATAGAGGTCATTTTTGCTTTGCACATATTTGTTACATGAAACATTAAACTTTACCTTTATGATACATTTATATCTATGGCAAATATATATGTAGTCTAAAATCTCTGCTATCTGTAAATTTCAGAAAAAGATACAGCAGTAAAGCAAAACCTTAAATGTCCATAATTCAAAAGTTCTACCAGTTATGTAAGCACTAAAAAATATAAACTTAAGACTAAAAACTTATTGTTCCAGTAAGAATATAAAGAATTTTCACTACACTGGGAAAATACATCCTTTTAATAACTTTAAGCTGATTAAATTTATTAAACTACATATATCTTAAAAAAAAGTCAGCATGGCTTCTTACAAATGTAGGTTTTATAAATTCAATAGTAACTTTTGGTGAAATAATCAGTTTATTCTAAAATACTAATCTTTCCATAAAAATTAGTTTAATAACACTGCCAGACATAATGCAAAGAAGAGATACACTTAATCAGATTAAAACATTCTGGAAGCTGTTTATTTTTGAGATGGAGTCCTGCTTTCTGTCCAGGCTGGCCCTGGACTCTTGGGCTCAAGCAATCCTCCCACTTCAGCCTCACAAGTGCTTCAGTTGCACCACGGTACCTAGCAAGGCCACTTTTCTTTTTAAAACCAGTGACTGTGCCTTTTAGTTTGGAAAACTGTGACTGAGGAAATGTCCCAAGTGCTTCACCCACTCTCAGCTCTGGTCTATAGTGATAAGCTGAATCTTAAACACAGAGTGGCAGCAAAAAATTGCAGCTTACACTGTGGATAGCAATACAGTGTTTGCAAAGCTATTTCATGTAAATTGTGTAACACCACTTACCCCATTAATCTATCCCGTAAGCAGCACAGGTATTTACTTTGCAGATGAGGCCCTTGATGCTCAGGAGCTCATCCGAGGGCACACAGCTAGCTAACACAGGGAACTGACCACCAGAAGGAGAAGACACCAGGGGTTTTCCTTTCCTTTTCACCTAATCTGGCAACTTCCCTACTGTTGGTACAGAGCGTACACCAAACGTGAAAATAGTTTGAAGGGGAAAAAAGAGACTATTCCAACTACAACTTCAGGTTCACTCTGCTCAAGAATGACAAGGACTGCTATTTACCAGAATGGCAACTGTTCTGATGCTGTCGTGGACCAATCAATGTGTGTGTGCATGCCCTTCACTCTAGTTCAATCACGCCCAATGTGTGGAGTTCTACTCTGAACTTTACAGCCAAGAGAGTTAAGATGGATAGCCATTATTCTGTCAAGTAGTTCTGTTCCTTAGAAACAGAAATGTTCCTGGTGCCCCCACTAACACTATTTCACACAGCATTCGAGGTCCTCCATGGCCATCTTCAAAACTATCCACACATACAAGATTTCTCACCTCTCTCGCCTTACTTTATACTATGTTCCTTATGCTGTTTTCTTTTAATCATCCAGCAATTACATTTTTACTTACCAATCAAGGTTACGCTTGAGCCCAATCACTTTCCTAATTACTAACTCATTCCTTTTGCCAAGATCACATAAAGTTCTTTGTAACCCGATCACGGCTTGCTTTCCGTCCTACACTCTATTAGTGTTGGTGGTTTGAGACTCCAGACGTTCAGCTCCAGGAGTGGAGGAACTGCCTTAAACTTAACAAATTCAGAGCTTTTATCTCAGGGGCACCTAATAAAGTGCGGGGTGAAATAAACGTCTGTGGTCCAGCTGGCAGAGCCCCTCCGCACTGCCGCCTGTCATGGCAGTTGTTTGCACACTGTGCTGGCGACACATCGTACTGACCACGCTCTGCTGTTTTGTCCATGTGCCTGGCAATGGCCCTGCTTCCTGCCACCCCTGGGCGCCCTCCCACCTGTCTTAAATGTCAAGTCCTTTCACCAAAGTGTAAGTCATCAAATTTTTCAACATCTAGAGTTAAGGAGAGGGTGAGGAAACTGGAATAGAACGCTGGAGAGATCCATTCCATTATATGTTTATACAGTGACAGATTTGAACTTTTACTGTCAACTAATTCAAACACATTCCACAGAGATGGTGAAAATAGCATTTGCTGATACACACATTCCGCATTTCTTAGTAAATGAGTAAGTCACAAAAACACTTTTAAGTGAAAACATCAAGTTATCACAGGAACTTAGAGTCTTATGCTGTTTTTCCACATGTGAGTTTAGTTAAGATATAATTCAAATAAGCAAAGCACTGCCCAACAAGTGATTCACATACTCCTATGATTATTCATTAAATAATCCATCGACAAGCATGAATGCTTCCTTTTCTAGAAGAAATATATGTAATACAGTCTATCCTTCAGGCTCAAAGGACAGATTTATGCTTCCGATCTGGTGGATATTTTTGCTCCACGTAAACATCCTATTTTCTCTCTCCTCCAGGAGACAAATACTACTTTGAGGGAAAAGATGGAAATATTGAAAAGGAAAAAGAAGGCCTACAATTTGAATTATAAAAATATTGATGGTTCAATCATGTGACCATACCTCCTCAGCGTACCTTCAGTGAATTAGATGTTCTTAAATCTTTTAAAATCACAATATGCAAGCAAATAAATTCAGAGAACTTTCTGATCAAAAGCAACTGCTAATAATATGAAAATAAGTGCCCAGCAGTTCTATGCCCCATTACTTCAATTATCCGTTTTTACCTTTCTTTGTTCCTGTTCTCTCTGTTGGAGTCTACGAACGGAGTCATTTGCTGCTTGCACTAAAACAGAAAATGAGTTTTCAGTCAGTATTCTGTTCAGTAAGAGACGTACTTGGATTCTTTTTAACCTCAAGAAACTACCCACACACACACACACACACACACACACACCTCAAAACAAAACAAAACATTACTTTGGTGGCGGGCAGGGTGGCTACAGGGAAAGATTAGTTTTGTCAATATGTTCAGGACACTGTAATTAGAACCGTCATCATTTTGAGCTCTGAAATGCAAGCCAAAGGGCACATACGTACTAACCTCAATGATGAGCCATGGGAAGCAATCTCAGAATACCCTGTAGATAGACACCTCACTGCCGTAACTTACACCACATTCTGATAAATTCTGCATTTACACTGCCTGATTCCTTAGCATCCCCATACAGACTACCACTCTCACAGGCTCCTTCAAGGTGCTTCACCATCTTTCCACACACTGTTCTTGCCTTTCTGCTCTTGAGTTCTAATTCTTCATGACTAGCTCTAAAAGGTCATTTCCACCTCTTAAGAACCCAAACTGCTAGTACAGGCTGGGCACCCCTAATCTGAAAACTCAAAATCCCAAATGCTCCAAAATGCAGTCTGAGTGCTGACATGACATGCAGGAATTCCACACCTCATATGTAATTCTCAGACAAAATCCTGGGGCACTAAAAACACTAATATCACATTAGGTAAATGTCCACGTCTACTGGGTATATGAAACATAAATGAGTTTCAGGTTTAGATGTAGGTACCATCCCTGAAATAACTCGTTTCATTTATGAAAATATTCCCAAATCCAAAACACTCTGAAATCTGAAACACATCTAGATGAGAGGTTTCAGATGAGGGCCATTCGTGTAATAATTACTGTAGTTATCTGTTGTTTGCTCTGTGCCAAGGCCTGTGCTAAGAACTCTGCATGTATTACCCTTCTTGATCTCACTTCCCTCTCAGAAAACATACCCTTGTGTGGCATAAAGAAAATACTGAGACACAATGAAATAAAGTTGTTACTAAGTCACATAACTAACAAATATGAGGAAAAGCATTCCAAAGTCGATCCTTTTAACTCTAAAGACTGGGCTCTTTACCCTCAACACTCTACTTTCTCTTTTATTTTATTTGTTTTTGGGGATAGTGGGAATCAAACTTATAACCTCACGCTTGCCAGGCAGGCTCTGCACTACTGAGCTAAATCCCCGGCCCTTCCTCTTCTATAATTTTGCCAGTCAAACTCATTTTAATTTTTGTTACTCGAGCTTTTCATTTACAACATCTTTTTTATTTTTGTTCACGAAAGTTCTCACTTCATCCAAACACAGCATTTAGTCTTCAGCACACAGGCGACGAGTCCACTTTAGCCAAATTTGGCTTGAGACTTAGTTACGTGACCAATCTTGGGCATGTTTCCCGTGCCCGCACTCATGCATCCACCAGCTCCTCACTGAGCACACGGCGTGGGCCACGCACTGCTCATTGCTCCTAATCTCTCTGCACCTTAGCTTCTCACTTGTAAAATAAGCATTGCCTAATAAGAGGACTGCAGGACTACTGACAATAGATGAGACAACACAGTAGACACTATGTTTAAAAATAAATGATCTAGGGGCTGGGGATTTAGTTCAGTGGTGTAAGCACTTGCCTGGCAAGTGTCAGGTTGTGAGTTCAATCCCCAGTACAAAAAACACACAAACAATAAAACCACTTAGTTCCTCAAAGAGTAATCAGTCAAGAAATACTCAACTTACTATCTCTTTACTTCCTTCCTCTAGTTAAAATGTACTACTCGTTTCAAAAGCCCATTTGAAGCTACACCTTCATAAAGCTCTCCCAGGTTAGTTCTTTCCCTGTGTAGATTCTCCCTTTTCTGACACCCCCTCACCAGGGGACTGGAGCTACTGGTGGTGTGATCTGAGAGGTTTACAATTATGACACCCCCATCCCGGCCCCAATCTGGCTCAACTAGGTCACAAGTTCCACGACTGGGCAGGGACTACAGTTTCTCCGTCAGAAAACTGTTTAGGCCTTTTCCTCTGGGAATATGTAAAAGAGGAGAATTTTGTTCCTGAAAAGCTGTATTTTTATCAGTAATCATTATTTTTAGTTTTACCAAAGATAGTACTTAAGATCTGAAAATCAGGTTCCCAATCATTGTTTTTTTCTAGAAGAAAAGAAGAAAACAAAGTGGGAGTTGATTAGATCTGCCTTTTTTTCTGTGGCCATTTATATTATATCATTTTTCTCAAGTACTGGTTCTATCATATCCTGTTTTTTTTTCCTTTTTCTTTTCTTCCTGCCTCTATGAACATAACTCAAGTCTCTTTTGCTATCTTTAGGTGCTTTGCCATTTTCAGATTGCCCTGAACTTAATCTCAAAAAGCTACAGCATTATGCTACTCACTTGGTCACTTGTTGTGTCCTTTAAATTTAGTCAGATTGCATCTGACAAAAGTGCATTGTGTTCCTCAGTGGGATTGTCCTTACGTTGGGATGGAATGCCCATTTTTAGAAAACTCAGTTCTTCTAAAGTAATTATTTCTTAATCCTTTAGCTACACATTAGAAATCCACCCAACCACACAACTACTCCCTTCCTTCATCACTAGTGATTCCAGGAGGAAACGGCTCACTCCGCAGAAGCTCCCTATCGGACCCCCATCACTTCCTAGTTAAGCTTTACTGAGTAGGAAGTGTCTCAATGCCACAGAAACTAACTGACTTTAGAAGTCATCTGAGAGAGGAGTGCTCTGAGAGCAGTAAGGGCAGCAGCTCTGAGGTAGAACAGTCAGGAGGCCAGTGCAGCTGGACCGAAGCGGGGGACAAAGCAAACGGCAGGCTATGAGGCCACAGTGAGGCAGACATTTCCAAGCCACTGTAAGGATTGTGGACTTTAATCTGTGTACGATAAGGGTACTCTGAATATTATAATGGCGAGAACTGAGTTATATAAAAGGATAATTCAGGTTAATTCAGGATAATTCAGACTGCAGGGAGGAAAGAGAAGGAGCAAAGCCATGAATTATGGGCCCACTAGAATGGAGAGATGGCTGGTTTAAGTCGGGAGGAAGCACTTGGTGCGGCGGGAAGGATGGCATGATTCTCACTATGTTTTCAAAGTTGACCCAAAATGATTTTAAGCATATCTCTGACAGGTAACACGAGATGCTCGAGATGCTCGTTAGACACCCAGGTGGAGAAAAAGGGAAGGGCAGAGAGCAGAGGGGAGTTGGAGGGAAAGCAGCAAGGAGAGGAAGGGGAAGGGGAAGGGGACGCAGAACAGGGAGGTCAAAACAGGAGGGGACTCAGCCGGCTGCTCGGGTCACACAGGGGAGAACAGAAGTCAGAGGGAATGGACACTGGGTTGTGGACCGGTCACACAGAGCAGCCTATTGAGCAGCTGGTGGACCAGGCAGTTGGACACAAAGGTCTGGAACTCAAGTGAGTGACCCCAGGTAAATACACAAGTGGTATTACTGATTGGTAGAGATAATATTTGAAGCTGTGATTTTACATGCGACCACCAAGCAAGTGAGCACAGAACAGTTGTCTGGAAACCGAGCACCATCACCCAGCATTAGAAATCAAGGCAGCAAGTGGGTGGGCCTCACCATGCAGGCCAAGAAGGGAGTGCCAGGCAGTGAGAGGAAATCCCAGCCTGGCGTTCCGGAAGAGGGAGGCCTTTCCCATGTTACAGAAAGTGACATCCTGTGAACTCTGGAGTCAGAAGTAGGTTTGTGTGATAGTACTTCCAATTACTATGAGCGCATCATCAATGTTAAACCACCATGAGTTTCAATTTCTTAAGCTATAAGGTGGGGAGGATAATAAATATATTTTATGAGGTTAAAATAGTCAATAATATACAGGTGAAAATTATAATAAAGTACTAAAAATAAGTATTTTAGAGATATTTTAAAAGACTTCTAGGTAAAGACAACAAAACGAAGCAAAATCTTAGTCCTCTTAAGTACTTTGCAAAATAAATAAAATGTTAAATAAAGGTAAGAACATGCCACTTGGTAAAGAGGAAAAGAATCGTAACTGTATGAGATGAACTTTGAAAAGTGCTGGCCAAGAATAGGAATAGAGATTCTAGTAAAGAACTGAGATTCTGGATACCCCTCTATACCACGGCCTCCCAACAGCTACCATTAGAAAGACAGGCTGACAAAACTCTTAGAATTCTAACACACTTTAGTTCCCAGAAGGGAGGGAAGAAAGGAACATAATAGGTGAGACAGAGAGGACAAAGTAGCTATACTGAAAGAAAACCTAATAAAAATCTCCATAGGTCCTCTGTCATATAAAATAACAACACGAGTTTAAAAACAGACCAAATGTGATGATCAAATACAAAATGAAGTGAAAAATAAGATTTCAGAGCTAAGAAAATAAATGAACAACTATAAACCCATTCCAGACGTAAGGAACTGAACAATGTTAAGACTAAACAATCGGCAGAGTCATAACTGCAGTGCAGAAAGCAAATATTCTGAACCTTCCCAGAGTTAAGCTTAATAGGGAGCAGGAGGGTGAGAGAGGTGGGGGGCACAAAGCCCAGCCCCCACCTGCATGGCGAGGCTGCCTGCAATGGTGCTGACCACAGAGAGACACAGCAGAGACAGGAAAATATGATGGCACCTTCGGAATGATTTAATAATCACCTTCCTCAGAATCTTTCAGTAACTACTGCCCTTGGGTTTAAGGTACTGTCTTCTGTCTTAAGTTTGCATCCTGTCAAATGCAAATGAAATTAACAATTAATATTTTAACATAAATTTTATGATCCTATTCTTCCTCTCATATCTCATATCATACCTCAGATACCTTATCATATCTGGAATGATCTTCACCAAAAGTTTTTAAACACCACAGTTACTGGAACAGTATGATCTCTCTCTCCATGCCAGAGATCAGACCCTGGATGCTCTACACTGCGCTGCATTCCTACCCCTGAACCAGGAAGGGTCCTGCGAGGCTGCCCCAGATCCGGAATCGCAGGTGTGCACCACACCACGCTCGGCTGGGTTTTTTTTTTTTTTTTCACTTTCTTGAAAAATGTCTTGGTTGGGGTATAGTTCAGTGGTAGGACATGTGTGGAGCTCTGGGGTTAGCGCTCAATACCAAAAAAACAGTAAAGACAATACTCTATTGTATTTCTTTTTCTTAGTACTTCAAAGAATATTCTTTCATTTTTAAGTAAAAGGAAACAAAATTGTTGTGTTTAAAAATAGAGGAGGGGGGACAACATATTCTGTCAAGGTGGCCAGTACGGTCATTTGAAGGAGACCCACCCAGAGGCCCTTCATCCCTCTAATGGCAGGGCCCTCCACACCACTGACACTTCCTGACTCCAAACCTGATGACATTTATCAGCCCATTAAACTCATTCAGTGGAACTTAGGCTCTGTAAGTCTTCACAATGACAGCAATGGAAAGGCTGTATCTTGATGACAAGATGCCTGCAGGCTGCTTTCTCAGACCCTCACGTGCTTTTTGAGGTGAGCCTGGGTTCTAAGGCTTCGGCTCCACCAGTCCCTGCACGCAGCACAATGGCTGCAGAGGGCCCACTTCCTGCTCCCCAGTCAGTGATCCTGGGCGCAATGCTAGACAGGTGGGAAGGTTCAGATCCATGGGCTTCTGGGAGGCGCAGTGACGGAGGCCCAGGCTTGCTGGGCGCAGGCTGTGAAAAGCACAGAGCCCACCTGGTCTTGTGGTGACACACACTTAGATTGGAAAATATCCTGTATCGCTTTGCACAATTCCTGATTGGTAAGTGAAAATAAACAGTGAAAATTAACGCGTGATTTAAAATGTCAAATTTTTAAGGATAAAGCTTGTTAGCAAAGGTAGCTGGGCTCAGGCTAATATTTACCAGCTTTGGAGGCAGGTAATTATTTCTGATACACTGTGACCCTCAGAAAATTCTTCTGGTAGAGTGCTTTCCTGTTTCAAGCAGGAAAAATCTCCAAAAACCACTGCCTGGTTTCCAAAGCCAGTGATAAGACTCAAAGTATTTCACATATGTTAATTACAAACTCTAATTATTAACTTCACATCTCAGATGCTTTAATTCTTCCATTCAAGAAGATACATTTTCAGTCTAGATTCCAAATTGCCAGTTACATTTTTCTGTTTTACTGGGAAGGCTTTGCTGTTAAGAAACTATTCTTCACATCAAAAATACCAAGAACAAAGTCAACTGAAACAACTGATGATAGCTTTTTGCTGAGTTTTAGTCTATTTAATTTTATATACTCAAAAGAACAGAAAAAAGGAGGTTATAGGCACATCTCAAATGCATAGCTGAGCATTCTGAGTAATAATAATTGGTTTTCCTCTTAGCCTCGCATCTAGGGTGAGGGATGTGACAGTAGAAACAAATGAGCATATTTGTGGAAAAAAAAAAAATACAAAAGCCTAAAAGTCAACTTTAGATTTTTTGCTGTTCCAACAAAACCAAATGTGAGCTCAGGAGACTCAGCCCTTCCGACCTCCTTTACAACTGGAGTCCACACAGATTAACTTGGACTTGGACGTGAAGGCTCCGGCAGCCCCGCGGGTCACAAAGGCATCTCTTCTGCTCTCCTCCGCAGACCAGCCTCTCACACGTCAATTTCTGTTACTGTCCCCAGGATATTTTCCCAGGTCGTACCTCAGACATCCATCATTATTTACAAGTATAAATCCTTTCTTGGATAAGCTGAATGCTCTCAATACAGATCTCAGGAGCTCCATAACAGTGCTATGCTAATAAGGCTTCTTTTATGTTATGGTTTGATGCTAATGAATGTTCTTTTGATCAACAATCACTCCTTATTAAAATATTTTGCTTAATGAAAAAAGTGGTGGAATGCAAATATTTACAAAAGTATTATTTTTTGAATAAAGTAAAAACCTCTAAGTAGTCTATTTGAAAAAAAAAGGTTCCTTTCATAAATCCCCTACTTCCTGGTCACCAAATGTTTTCTGACAATTTTTTTTTACAGGTGAAACTGTTTTGATTTTCTCACATCCTCAAGGACTGTCTTGTGAACTGCAGATGCACACATCCTGCTTCAGAGATTAATATTTCTGACACCAACAGCAACACACAGTGGCCATGAGACAGCCAATTTCTCTGAGCCTGGGACTTCCTCTCGTACATGCTGGGGAGGAATTCTCTCTTTACATTTCCCATCATCATACTTTTAAAAAGACCCTTTGGCACAGCATTCACTTGCAATCAGGAGCAGTGTAAAACCAGCCACGGCTTACGTCTCTGGAGAACTTCCTTCAAGCTGCCCTCCATTGTGTCTCTGCATTTGGGAAGAGTCTGCTCATTTGTTTCAAGGATCATGTTCTTCAGATTTTCAAGAACTCGCATTTCCCGAAGACCGCGTTTTTCCTATAAAGAGAAAGTAAATGTCTAGTACGTACAGTGTCTTTAAAATCTTAGTAATAATTTTATGACATTTCCACCCAGGTTTTGGTTCTTATGATATTACTTACTACTGAAATTTACAGTCTTTTTCTAATTACTTGGCAGTCGACAAGGTCACAATCTGAAGGCATTTTAATTATGAAATGCCCCAAAAGTTGCAAAATGAGTAATAATTTTCTAACAATGTTTAAAAATGGAAAATGAAATATTAAAGAGACAGATTGCCCCATATTTCACTAGAAAGAAATCAGATACCCTTGATCTAATTTTAAATTTCATTTTGTTGTTGTTCTGCTGCTTCCATTGTTATGTGTCATACTTTTTCCTCTCAAACTAAAAATGAATGGTGAAAGTCATGACACACAACACAGGTGCTTCTCACCAGGTGTGGTGGTGCACGCCCATAATTCCAGCACTCAGGAGGCTGAGGCAGGAGGACTGCTGTGAGTTCAAGGCCAGCCTGGGTTATATAGTGAGTTCAAGACCATTCTGGACTATACAGCAAGACCCTGTCCCAGGGATGTACATATGTTTCCCTAAACAGAACAGTGAAGGCTGGAGAGGGCTGGACTTAGAAGGAAAAGCCTGCTCGCAGGGTTAGTCTTTCTGCGGGTAGGGACTTGACCAGTAAACAGTTCCCTACACTGGCACAAAACTTTCCATAAACTATAAAAGTGCTCCCTGTGCTGAAACTGCTGGTACAAATACCGTGGCTAATGCTGGGCACCTCTTTCCTCTTGGGAGTACAGGATTTAGGGACACTGGGCAGAGGAAGCCCACAGAGAAACCCTGGACTCCCAGGTCCAGGCAAGCTCCCAGGCAGCTCGCACTTTCCATGTGCTGACACAATGGCTGCTCGGGGCATTAGGAGCACCCAGTGTGACTGCAGGGAGAGGACTCCGGGAAGCTTCTGCGTCCAGGCGCCTTTCTCTTTGTTGACTCGCTGGGTCTTTCCATCATAATTAGGTGCAGTGATATAACCTCCTGCTGGGTCTGCAGTTCTAGTGAGTGACTCAGCCTGGAGTGGTCTCCAAAAGGTGGCACTTAACCAGCCTCCCTACCCAAGGTGAGAGCGGGCTAGACTTACCGACTGGCTTCAAAAAACAGATCAGGGAAAGGCAAAAACTCTTCCCTTTAAGTGGGGAAATCTCACAAGTGTTACCTTAGCCAAGGAGTGCAGATCCACAGGCACGGACTCGCATCACTGGCTGGTACCCTGACGTGACACCATGAGAAGGGCACTTTGCCCAAGAAGTTCTCCTCCTCACAACCCACAACCCCAGTGTGAGAAAAACATCAGAGAAATCTGGAGTGGGAGGCATTCTGCAGGGACTTGGCCAGCACTCAGGACTGCTGAGGTCAAGACAAACAAGGAACAACTGAGAAAATCACAGACCAAAGACAGCTCAGGAGACATGATAATTAAGTGGAAGGTGGTACTCTGGATTCAACCCCGAAACAGAAAGAAGACTGTAACGGAAAAACCAGTGAAATTCAAATAAAATCTGGTGTTTCATTAACAGTGACGTGCCAATGCTGGTTTCTTAGTTTTTACAAATGTGGCACAGTAATGTAAGGTATTAATTAGAGGCGATATTGGATGAGGGATATGTAGCACTCTGCACTATCCCTGCAAATTTTCTGTAAATTCAAAATCCATACAAAACAAAAGTTTATTAGGAAAAGGAGGAGGTACAAAAAAGAACCATAACAAAACCAAGTGAGGCGTGGTGGCACACAGAACTGTAACCCCAGCACTCAGGAGGCTGAGGCAGGAAGAACACTGAGAGTTTGAGCACTAAGCTACACAGTAAATTCAAGACCAGCCTGAATTACAGAGTGAGACCTGACTCAAAAACAAAACAAAGCAAAGCAAAACAAAAACCAAAAGAAGAAAGAGGATGAATTTAATTGTAAGAACATAGTAAGTTAGCTATGTCACTGAGGTTTTTGTTTTGGGCCATTTGATGAAGCAGCTGTAGCCAGGTTCTTAATTTTTCCATAACAAAAACTAACAGCAATTTTTCCATAACAAAAACTAACAGCTTATACAAAGAGAAAATAATACAATGAGTCGCATGCACTCACCAAGCTCAACAGTTCTCTCCTCAGGACTGAAACCATCCCACTCATCTCTCCCAAGTTATTTTCAAGCAAACCCTACAGACTAATTTCACTGTAACTGTTTCAACATATCTTTACAAGACAAAGATTACTCTTAGAGGGTCAGAGGTATAGCTCAGCCGCATCATTGCTTGCCTGGCAAGTGCAAGGTTCTGCATTCGAATCTTCCTCACCCTCTCTCTCAAGTACACACGGTCAACAATAATTCTGCAATATCACTAAACATCAGGGTAAAAAAATAACAAGCTAATATTCCTATTACATTCCTTCAAATGTCCTGTTTTTATCCCTCTGGACCAAAACCTAAATAAGATTCATACACTGACTATTGGTTAATAGGTTTAATACTATTATTTCTAAGTTCTTTTTAGTCTCTAGATTTCTCTTGTCAGTATCTTTTCCTTGCAATCTCTTGAAATAAGGTGAGTCATTTGTTCTGCAGTTTCTTCTTTTTTTAATGAATGAATTCTCATGGTATAATTTAACATATTTCTTTCCTTTTTTAAAAATAAGTAGTCAGGGTCGAGGCAAGAACATGGTGGACAGATAGCAGCAGCTATGCAGGCTCTCTGCAAGACCCAGCTTAGAATCAGGAATGGTGCGGAGTGAGGAATCATAAGCAAGAGGAGATATACCCTGCTGACCCAAGAACGAACTGAGAGAAACCAACTGAGAATGCAATCCTGGTGCTATAACAGGAACAGATAAAGCCTCAGTGTGGAAGCTGGAGCCGCGCCATTGGAAGCCGCGATTTGGATTTCCTGCCACCGCTGCTGCATCTGAATTGACTCGGCAGGGAGAGAGATGCACAAAAGCTCTGAGAACGGGAATCAGTGAATGGAGTTGAGAGCTGGATGGGCGGAGAGCCGTGCATCAACCTGTGGTGAGTGAGGGAAACTGGGACTCTTCCACGGTCTAGGAGGCTCCAACACAAGACATTCTGGGACCAGGCAACTTGCCAGAACAGGGCGCTGTAGTGACTTCAGTCACATATACCCCTCTCAAGCGGGATTGGTGAACAGTGCCTAGCCTACATGATGCTGCTGGCTGAGACCCAGTAGGCTAGCATAACCCAGGTCACAGTGCCTGGAGGTGCACCCTAGTGGTGAAGCTCCTTTGATAGGTTGACCTGGAGGGGCGGACCCCGCATAGGCTGCCTGGTCCGTAACTCAATGGTGCATTGCGGTGGGTGGGGACACCTAGCTGGCGCAATTCAATCAGACTGTGGTGGACAGGGAAGGAAGCTGGGCCTCCTATATACGCTTGCATATATAAGGAACAAAGAATATGGGAAGAGGGAGCAACAAGAAAGGCTCCTCGGCCCCCAATCCTGAGAAACAGGCAATAGCAGACACGGCACCAATAGACATAAAACGATTATCTCCAGAGCCTCATAGACGAGTTTAGGAATGAAGTTATTAATGACCTGAAGCAAGACATAAGCAGAATAGTTAAGAGAAATACAAAGCACCACCCAAGAAAAAGCAGATGGTGGAATAGAAGAACAGAAAAAGAGGGGAGAATTGTTTGATGGAGAAAACAGAGAAAACATAGAATACGTGAAGCAGGTTCAAAGAGATTACCAGAAAACTAAAAACTCTATCGAAAACTGGCATAACAGCTTGAAAGAAACTAAGGACAGATTATCTGAACTGGAGGGCAGATTTGTAATATGGGAGCATGAAATGAAAAACTTCTTAAAAATAACAAAGAAACAAACAGCAACAATACAAAGACTAGATGATAAGAGGATCTATAACTTAAGAATTAAGAACATAAAAGAAGAGGTAGGGACACAAACAAATGAACTACAAAAGCTACTCGCAGAAATAATCCAGGAGAATTTTCCTAATAATCCAGGAGAATTTAGCAAAAGGTAAAGATACTCAGATGTATGAAGCATACAGGACCCCAGCCACCTACAACCCAAACAGAGCTACACCCAGGCATACAATAATCAAAATACCAGAAATCCAATATAAGAACAGAATATTAAAAGCAGTCAGAGACAAGAAACAGATCACTTACAAGGGAACACCCATCAGAATTACAGCAGACTTCTCGGCACAAACCATCAAATCACGAAGAGCGTGGGGGGAAATAATTCAAGCTTTGAAAGATAATAACCTCCAGCCAAAATTGAGATATCCTGCACAACTATCCCTGGAAATTGATGGAAAAACAAGGTGCTTTCAGGATAAAGAGGAACTAGGGGAATATGCAACCACCAATTCAATTCTACAGAGAATACTGCAGGATATTCTAAAAAAGAAAAATACGAAGAATCCAGAAATAGTGGCAGAGAGGCCACAATGAATGGAGCAGAAAACAAAATGAAGAAGACAAACTGACAACTAATGACAGAAAAAGAGCTCAAGAGAAATGAGGCAGAGAAGACTGGGTGATAGGAACAGCTACATTGGAGAAAATGACGTCATAATAGCTAGTGCTGATTTGGTATCATCTTGTTTTGAAGTCCCATCAAGCTTTTGTTCTTCTGTCTCCATAGGTCTTAACATGTTGTATCTTATTGGATTTTATTATATGTGATAGTATAAACAAAAACTTTTATAGACAAGGAGATTATACAGAAACCATTGTTCATTTTCTGTTAGTTGATTCTAAATACTCTGTAATACTGTCATTCTCCTGAATGGTTTTACATTGTTTTGAAATATTTGATGCCACAGTATACGAAGTTATACTCAAAGATTTCAAGGAAAGAGACAATATGGTAACTACTTTTATGTCGGGATTATTTTGTAGTGCAACACTATTTTGCTTAAATGGTTTGTTTTGATCTGCGCTGTTTTGTTGTTATGCCCTCTTTTATCTCAATC